CACAGTACAATAGGATGGCCACAGGAGGGGCGGAGTAATGCTGGATCAGAACGGGTTCTACAGCAGCTAGGGACTCTAAAAGTGTGTCGAGAAATGCAAATTAACGGACCTAATGTAAGGGAGAGTAGGAACAACAGGAACGTCTCCAGCGAGGAACAATGTAATAGTTTTGAGTCCCCGAGAGCCAGGCGGAGGGAACCGAGAAAAGATAACACGATAAGATGCAGTTTAAGAATATTTGTACAGAGGTTCTGAAGATGCCATCAACCCCTCAGGATGTGAGGAGGCTGGGACAGAGCAGTGGGACAAACCTCGCCCCCTCAGGATCACACTAGTGAGTGAGGAGGGGTTGGAGTTATTCGGCAGGCAAAAAACTTAGCAAGGGGCGAGGCATTTCGAAGTGTATTCATTCACCCAGATTGCACAGTAATGCAGAGGGTACAGCACAGGAAGCTTCTGCAGGGGGAAGCAGAAGAGGGAGAGTCGAGGAGGGAGCAGGGACAGGTGTGCATAGGTTATATTCAGGGAGATAGTGGTGGAAGGAGTGTGCCGACACGGCCGGGAGACAGCAGAGCACCCTCCACCGCTCTGCCCCCGCCCGGGAGGTGGCACCAGCTCCGCCTATCAGCGGGAGGAGGGAGGCAGCATTGTAAACAATGACATTTCTAAACACACCCTGGTGTGCTTAAATGCAGCTTCTGGAGATAGGGTTAATTCTAAGGCAAGACGTTGCAATGGGAACAAATTGGGCTAAATAATGTACTAATACTAGTGTGAAAAAGTTTGAAACACTACTGAAGGTACACCAACCAGATGTTGTAGGGTTGTAGAACTGTTGTACAAGAACAGGAGAAGCGACCCAGAGGATTGTGAGTTCAGTATGGATATATGACTCATTTACGAACCTTTCCTTAAACAACTTGCAAGAAAGGGTGTGGTTATCTATAGTTAAGCAAAACCTTAGAGCCAGCCAGGTGAGGTGCAGGGAAGAGGATGTTTTTGAAAAATCAAAATGGTGTAAAGTTAAGTTAAAGGGGGAGAGACTTACTGTTGGGTGTATCTACATTTCCCCAAACTTTAGATTATTAAACCAAGGAAACTTAAGAGCTTTCATAGACAAAAGAAATGGTGCTCCACCATAGTCACCTCCTTGTCATGGGGTTTTTATCTATGGCGACATCAACTGGAGAAATGAAACCACACCAAATGACTAAATACCGCTACTCTTTTGTGAGAAATTCTGAGACATATCAAACACTCCAGCCTTTGGACCTCATCATAACAAACGAGGAGGGTATGGTGGCAACTGGAACACCTAGCTTCCGTTGGCACCAGTCACCACATAACGTTGTCCTTCAGATTCAACTGTTACTGGTTCATGACAAAACCAGGCCAGGTTCCAAATATCACAAGGGTAATTACCACGGGATGAAAAGAGGAGATGAGGTATCCACTGGCCTGATTTACTAAGGTATAGGCGCAGACTTGCCTCTGAATATCATAGGTAAGTGAACCATTTGGTCGAGAAATATATACCCAAGACCAACCCAGTGCCTCAGGATACAGGGGACCGCACACATGAACCATGCGGCGGTCGACAAAGTTAGAAAAACAGAAATTCAAGACGTGGTTGGGACTAACGATGAGCAGGACCGGATGATGTATGCCCGATCCGGAGAACCAGCAAAGTCAGAGTGTGAGAGGGCTGGAAAAAGTTCAGAGGCTTGTTGTGAGTGAGGTCAAGTCAATCCAAGGCATTTACTGCTACAAGTCAAAGTCAATTACGAGTAGACATTTCCAGACCTGGAGGCTTGAAGATGGTTGTCATGCCGTGATTATGACCAGGACAGGCGGAAAAGCGTTGGACTGGTTTCTTTCCTATGTTCACAAGGGAGGATGTGAACAATCTTCCTGCATTTGAGGACAGACGTTTTGACACAGCGCTGACCCACAAAGTGTTCTCAGAAGAGGTTATAAGAAAATAAATTAAAAGCTAAGGTTGGCCTGACATGGGTGCACCCCAGAGCTAAAGAGGTTGTTAATAAGCTTGCTGACCCCTGAAGATCCTGTTCTGTAAATGCCTGGATAGACAAGGTCCCCAGTGATTGGAAAATGGCTTAAGTGAGTCTAGAATTGAAGGGCGATTGACATTCAAGATAAAATTATAGACCAGTGAGCCTGACCAGCACTGGTGTGTAAAAGTACTTGAGATCTCATAATAAATGCCATGATGGAATTTTTTTTTTAGTCACCCAGGCACAGGGCACTATTTCAGGGCCTGAGGTAATGTTAATAATAATAATAATAATAATTGATAAAGTAATGATTGTGTGTGGTTGGTGTGTGTGTGTGTGTGTGTGTGTGTGTGTGTGTGTGTGTGTGTGTGTGTGTGTGTGTGTGTGTGTGTGTGTGTGTGTGTGTTGTGTGTGTGTGTGTGTGTGTGTGTGTGTGGTGTTGTGTGTGTGTGTTCATGTGTGTGTGTTTGTGTAATATGTGTTTGTGTGTTAGTTCATAGTAAGTAGAATTTATGTACAAAATACAAATAAAAAATAAAATAATAACAATAATAATATGCTTACAACACTAATGTATAATATGTGTGTGTGTAATGTGTAATATGTGTGTGTGTGTGTGTTGAAACAAAAGAAATAAAAAATATAAGAATCAATAGTGAGGAAACGATATAGCTGTGGTTTTGTCAAAGTAAGAGAAACAATTGAGACCCACATCATTGTGTGTAAATGAGGCAGAAAGACAGATCAGCAACCTGGACTTGGTCTCTATTCGTGATGCCATATGGCAGCAGGGTCTACCATAGACAACATTATGAACTATATCTTCGGGCATTTTATTAGCTTTTACCTACTATATATAAATAACCTTGTATGGGTTTATGGTTTTATGCCAAGACGCTCCTGTACGCAATTACCGGTATTTATGCTTGGACGGGTATTGGAACAGGGTTGTAATATCGACAATATATACCTAGATTCGCTAAGGCTTGACATTACCAAAAAGGCTAATCTAGAAGGGTTCGGGATTTGGGGAAGTGTCTCTTTATGGATCGGAGACTTTCTTGCATGATCGCAAACGTGTGGTGGTGATTAATGACTGAAATCGTCATGTACCCTATAATCGAAATTACCCAGGGAGTGTTATTGGGCTGTTTTTTGTTTTCATAAATGAATGCCGAAGCTATGCACTCCTCCATACAAATGTGTGCAGACAATGCCCGGTATTTTCGGAAATTATAAACCAAACAGACTGCGTACGCTACAGAAAGCTCTGTGAGCTTCAAAAGTGGTCGAAGAAATGCGCATAATATTCAATGTCGCGAAATGTAAGTGGCTGCACCTGCGTTCATACCAACGGTAAGGGGTGTATCATATGTCCCTACGGGACAAACAACTGCATTAATAGATTGAATGCGAAAGGACCTAGGTGTGTATGTTGAGCAATGAACTGAGACCGCCATTGTGAAAGAAGAAGTGAATCAGGCAACTAAACTATTAGGTCTTATAAAGGTCGTTCAGATTCTTGGGAGATGGCCTCGTGATCTTCAAGAGCGAACTGCTTCCCCGCCTGGAGTATTGTCACCGTCTGGTCCCGAGATATGCTAGGGACGTCAGTTGGCTCAAAATGTTCAGAGGATGGGCCAGGTGCCTGCACTTCGGCCTCAGCTACCTTGAGAGATTGGGCACTGAGCCCCTTACAAGCTTATACTTCAGACAGGTAAGGGGTGATCTAATTGGTGTAGCATCTAGGGCACTACTCAGTCAATGTCTTGGAGCTGGCGGACGCCTGGCCTGAGGGTCATAGCTCAAGATTGAAGAAGCCGTAAGTCAAAACTGTGAGGACAAATTTTTTTCG